GTAAGACAACAACTTCATTTGGTTTCCCAGGCTTATCTTCATCCATACCAGTAGACTCCCCCTGAAGAGAAGTCGGGGAAAAAAAGAATTATGTCTCATAAAAGGTAACATCCATGGAAACAATGACCTTACGGAGAGAAGGTGAGTAACACTTATAGCCTTTTTGATTAGGGGAATATCCTATGAAGACACATCTAATAGATTTAGGGTCAAGTTTGGACCTTTGATGTGGAGGAATATGTACAAAGACCACACAGCCAAATATTTTTGGAGGAAGAGAAAGAGCACAGAAAGAAGAAAAAGATTTAGTAAGACAAGATAAAGGAGAATGAAAATTTAGTACCCGAGAAGGCATTCGATTAATGAGATAAGAAGCTGTCAAGATGGCTTCCCCCCACAGATATTTAGGGACATGCATCGTGAATAAGAGAGCTCGAGCAACTTCAATTAGATGTCTATTTTTCCTTTCAGCCACCCCATTTTGTTGAGGGGTGTTAGGACAAGAACTTTGATGAATAATTCCATGTTGATTTAGGTAATCTCCAAGAACAGAATTAAAATATTCAGTGCCATTGTCTGTTCGCAGAATTTTGATAGGAGTCTGGAATTGAGTTTGAATCATAGCATGAAAATTTTTAAAAGTGGATGCCGCATCAGACTTGTCTTTTAAGTGATATACCCAACATACCCTAGAATGATCATCAATGAAAGTAATAAACCAACGAGCACCCGAGACATTTTTTTCACGAGCAGGTCCCCAAATATCACTATGAATCAATGTAAAGGGAGAAGATTCATGATATTTCTTAGGAGAATAAGTGACACGAGAATGTTTTGCAAGCTGACAAATATCACAAAGAAAGGAACTTGGCTTTTTATTGATAAATAAGTTAGGGAATAACTTCTAAAGATAAACAAAATTTGGGTGCCCTAACCTACGATGCCATAACAAAACATCATTACAATCATCTGATAAACATAGAGAGTGGTTTGAAAAAATCATCCTTTCACAAAGATCCTCCTCCAAATAGTATAGCCCTTCTTCCTCTCTAGCACTGCCAATCATCATCCCCGAGTCCTGCTCCTGAAAGATACAAGCATTTGCAGAAAACTTAGCAACACAATGCAACTCAGCAGTAAATTTGCTAATAGAGATGAGGTTACAAGTAAGGGAGGGAACATGAAGGATTGAGTTCAAAATAATATGTTCAGAAAGTTTAATGGACCCCTTGCCCGCAATAGTGGAGAAATTTCCATCAGCTGTTCTTATTCGTGACGGGTGATAGTAAGGGGTATAGGAGGAAAATAAGGTTGCATTACCTGTCATGTGATCAGAGGCTCCTGAATCAAGGATCCAACGATTACTACGTTCAACATGGAATGCCATACCTTTTTGAGCAACATGACTAGTTGCCTCAGCAGGTTGAGACATCAATTTCTGAAATTGCTCATACTGGGCCTTAGAGAGGAGAACACCATCGGGGTTTGAAGGGACATGAGACCCCTCCCCCTTATCTTCAGAAGATACTTGATTAGCACGATTCTTGTTCTGTCCTTTTGGTTTCCAGTTTGGTGGTTTGCCATGAATTTCCCAACATTTTTCCCGGGTGTGACCACCCTTATTGCAATGAGAACACCAACGGTCAGAACGTTTTGAGTCCCCAGAAGGACTAGCAGTATTCTTTGTTATAAGGGCTGACCCATCAGAGGACTTAGAGTCCTTATCACCCAACATTACCTTTCGGCGAAGCTCCTCCCTTCGTACCTCAGAAAAGGCAGTGGCAATGGAAGGTAATGGGTTTTGCCCCAAAATTCTTCCACGAACATCATCCAGATCAGAATTAAGGCCAGCAAGAAAATCATAGAGACGCCTTTTCTCTATATAATTTTTGAATATTGCATTAGCGTCTAAACCTTGAAGGTCTGCTTTATCATAAAGATCCAACTCTTGCCACAATGTTTTTAGAGCAAGGAAGTATTCAGTAACAGTCATCCCTCCTTGGCGTAAATCTTTCACCTTGGTGTTGAGTTCAAAAGCCTGAGAGGCATTGCCCAGGTCAGAGTAGTATTCTTTAACAGCTTCCCAAATTTCTTGAGCCGTATCAAGGAATAAATAAGTTTGACTGATATCCGGTTCCATAGAATTAGTCAGCCATGTCATGACCAAAGCATTTTCAGTCACCCAAGCATCATAGCCAGGTTCATGTTCTGCTGGTTGAACCTTTTTTCCATCCAGATACCCCATCTTCCCTTTGGCCTGGATAAACAACTTAACAGATTGACACCATTGCACATAGTTTCTACCGTTTAAACGGTGATTGGTGATCTGCATTGATGGGTTGTCTCCAGAAGACGAAGAAATGGGAAGGGGTGAGGTTCCGGTCGAAACTCCAGATGAATTTTCAACATTTTCAGTGTCCATGGCTTCCTAACAACAATACCCAGAAAACAAAATTCCTCCAAATATGATTTTGACCCTCAAAACAGGAAGAGGGAAGGCAGACGATCAGAACGGGGTATGACCCGCTGGAAAAAAATGATGGGAGGGCGGCGCGTGGACCACACGCGCCGGCGAAGCTGAAGGATGTTGGTGGCGCGTGGCGGCGCGTGGCTGGGTCTCCGGCGACGGGTCTTGTGTTGGCTGGCTCGGAATTTTGTTCTGGACCTAATGGTGGCCTTGGTTTTGTGGTTGGAGGTGTCTAGGTGAGGGTTCTGGCCTTGACAGAGGCAAAAAACGAAAAAAAAAGAATGGAAGGGAAGTTAGAACAGGGAAGAGACTGGATTTTAACCAGCTCTTGATACCATGATGAAAAGAAAGAGTGTTTTTCTGTATAACACTATTGATTGATTACATTGAGAGACCCAATAGGTCCTATTTATATTGAGTACAAAGAACAATGCTAATAAATAGCAACAGTAAACTAAGAGGCTTATTTACAATAACAAGAGACATTAATAAATAAGGGAACAAATAGCAAGGAAGTAATAAATGATAATCTAGAATATTCTACATTACCTCCTTGGCATTAAAGTCAAGTGTTTTCCCACAGGGTCTATCTTGCTCACACAATTGAAATATATTAGAGGTCTCATCACTAGAGATCAACTAGAATGTTAATAAGGTATGTCAATTCATGCATAACCCCAAGAGAAGCATTGGAGGTGGTTAAGAGGATTCTACAGTACTTAAAGGGTACTATCACTCATGGTCCCTTGCTCAAGCCCGCAGATGTTGGTAGACCTCTTGCTCCCACAGTATTTTGTGGCGTTGATGAAGCAAGTGACCCAACTGACAGGAGATCTACATCAGGAGCTTTCATTTTCCTTGGCCCTAATATTTTCCCTCAAGCTCCAAGAAACAAACTCTTGTGACCATATCCAACATTGAAGCCAAGTATCGTAATCTAGCAATTACAGCTACAGAGATCCTTTGGGTTCAAACCCTCCTCAAGGAACTCTGTATTCTAGTTCAAGTCCCAGTCATTTTCTGTGACAATATGAGTATTGTGGCTTTACCTCACAACCCAGTCTTACACACTTTAACCACGCATATGGAACTTGACATCTTTATGCGAGAAATGGTGCTAGACAAAAGCCTTCATGTTTGTCATGTTCCAGCTCTTGACTAGCTTACAATACATTTAACAAGGGCCTGTCTGCTCCTCGTTTTTGTGAGCTTCAAGACAAACTCATGGTCATGCAATTGATCCGAAGACCAAGACCTAGAGTTTGCAAGGGTGTACCAGAGATAATGATTTTGTATTGTGTATTGTTCTGTTTACTGTACTGTATTAGCATTTGTATCTTTGTATGTGTTCAAGTGTATTGTATCTGTTGATACAATTGTAAGGATCTATTAGTTAGCTGTGATTCAGTTAGTTTTTTGCTGTTAGTTAAGGACTATTATAAGTCTCTTATAAGTCAGTCCAGGTGTCAATCAGTTTAACAGATCCTCAGCTTCCTTTGGAAGCTTCCTCTAACACTATAAATAGATCTCTCAAGATTCAGAGAGATCACATGCTAATATACAGAAAGCTTCAGAAATTTTGAAGCTTTTCCTTTCTCTCTTTTTCTAAAATTTTCTCATAATTTCAATTAAAATGTAACCAGATCGCATTATACAGAAACCTTCAGAAACTCTGAAGCTTTTACTTTCTCTCTTTTTCTCGAATTTTCTCATAATTTCAATTAAAATGTAACCAGATAGCATTATACAGAAACCTTCAGAAACTCTGAAGCTTTTCCTTTCTCTCTTTTTCTCGGATTTTCTCATATTTTCAATTAAAATGTAACCGGATAGCATTCTAGTTTCACTTCAAACTGTTCCTGAACAAAGGCATAATCTAAACTTGTTTCAAGGCTTATTCCTATTCTACCTTACAAGTCTTGAAAAGGTAAGCTTGACTACTCAGAAAATCTCATGTCCATCTTAAATACATTGAATTCCACATTCAATAATTTCAATTGTTTACATTACATTTTTCAAGGTTCACTTGTCCTGTCAGGCTGCTCTGATACTGCTGGTTATAAGAATAATTTTACCACTAACACTAAATTCATATCAAGCATATCATACCACTTTGATCAATAGAAAGAATGCTTTGATGTTCTACATGCTAGTGGAAAAGAGACTATGAAAAAGAGAGAAATCCTAATCACTATACCAACTTACTAACAACAATAACTTCAATTTCTCCACTGTACATTTCTACAAATTCACAAAGATAAATCATTGCAACTTTGCAATAATTATTCATTACAAAAAAACCATGCAACCTCTCCCTCCCTCTTGGAAAAGCACATCTTATTGCTTGTCATTTCCAGTTCATTGTTGGGTACATAGTTTAAAAATTTAATAAGAGAGGTTACAAAACCAGTAAATTCTGGCACACCAGATTGAGGAGAAATGGATAATTCATAATAAGAAGCATGCAACTACACAAGCACAAACAACAGAATACTGCATGATACAATCACCATATATGCATGGTTGAACTTACTTGTTAAATGACACGCTCATTGCTATTCCTGATCCAGTTTTTGTGTGAATTATATCGTTCCTTTTGTTTCTTATTCTCTCTTCAATCTGCAATTCAATCAAGCTCATTTAATTTAAATACAAATAATATCCCTTGGCATCAAAATTCAAAAGGAGCTTGCAACTGCTTTTCTTTAATTTTCAACAACTTGAAATGCAATGAACATCACCCTTAAAATAATGGAAACAACGTAAAATCTCCTCCTACAAACATAGAAAGAAATTGTCCGTTTACATGGCGTTCCAAAGTCGATTGTTTCGGATAGAGACCGTGTGTTTATGAGCATGTTTTGGAAAGAGTTATTCTGGATGTCAGGAACTAAGCTACGTTTTAGTAGTTCTTACCATCCACAAACGGACGGACAATCCGAGGTGGTGAATAGAACGGTTGAGACGTATCTGCGGTGTTTTATTAATGGTCATCCTCGTGGCTGGGCTAAGTGGGTTCCTTGGGCAGAATTCTGGTTCAACACCTCTTATAATAGATCAATTGGCATGACACCATTTAAGGCTGTGTACGGGCAGGATCCCCCATCCTTGTTTCGTTTTGAAAAAGGAGGAACTCAAGTAGATGCATTGGACCAATGGCTGGCTGCTAGGGATGCAGTGGTGACTGATTTAAGACAAAATCTGAATAGGGCTCAGCAACGTATGAAATTCCAAGCCGATCAGAAAAGAAGAGATGTTCAGTTTGCCATTGGTGACAGTGTGTTCTTAAAGATTCAACCTTATAAGATGCGCTCGTTAGCTAAAAGGATGAACCAAAAATTAAGTCTACATTTTTATGGGCCTTTTAAGGTAATAGCACGTGTGGGAGCAGTGGCTTATCGTTTAGAGCTGCCTTCATATTCAAAGGTACACCCTGTATTTCATATTTCTCAACTTAAACTTGTTGTTCAGTTGGTGTTGCCTATATTGCCGTTACCAAGTTGTTTGAATGATACATTGGAGCTGGATGTTCAACCTATGGCAATTCGGGATTCTAGAAGGTTGCTGAATGGGAAAACAGAAGTGTTGGTGCAATGGGAGACTCTCCCTGACTGTGACTGCACATGGAAGGACTTGGAGATACTCAAGCAACAATTTCCTTCTTTTCACCTTGAGGACAAGGTGATTTTTCCAGGGGGAGTATTGATGGACCCCTAAGGCCTTTTAACAAATATTATACATACACGCAGGAGAACAAAGGCCCAAAGAAAAAGAGATACTCAACAGGCCCAAGTTGGTGACAGGTGCCCAAGAGAAGGAGGAAGCAATAAGGCAGAGCAAGGAAGCAACAAACAGCTGCAATTGCAATCAGTTATAAACAAGGCCACGTGGAGCGCTGTGAATGGAGAGGGTCACGTGGGAGAGGGAGCTGTGGTGAATGGGAATAATATAGACGGTTAGAGGAAAGAAGGAGGTCATTCTGGATGTTGAGAGTAGTGGTAGCACCTGGACTTGGTGGTTCAGAGTGGTGAGTAAGGGTAGAAGGTTATGTAATCGGATGAGTATGAGTGAGATATGCTTGGAGTCTGTATTTGCTATTTGTTAATTGGTCATTTCTGAGTAGTGTTAAGGGTTTCTTTTATCTTGTAAGGGTTGTGCCCAGTCAGTAGTAAAGAAGGGGTTGCTCTCATTTACTGTTCTTACTGTAAGGGAATTATCCCAATCTCTAATTAATGCAGTAGTTGATAAACGTGACTTTCATTGATTCAGTGATCTTAAAATACTAGTGATATTCTTGATACTGTTATTAAATATAACTGGTGCTATTAACTACTCAATGCAGAAGTTATGAAACCATCAATACATCGTGTTGCTTACTCTGGACTGTGCCTTTTGGGGATCATCTACAACACTCCCAAGAATTTCAGCAAATTCTGGATCTCTATCGTAGTCCTTCTCTTCCCTACCTGTATATACTCCTGGACCTGAATATCCACCACCATCATCTTCATCTTCTTGTACTTCTATATCAATGTCCTTTGCTTCCCTTCTTGCATGCTTTTCTTTCTTTCTTCTTCTCTCTTCAATCTGCAAATCAATCAAGCTCATTTGATTTCAACACAAATAATATCCCTTGGCATCAAATTTCAAAAGTAGCTTGAAGCTGCTTTTCTTTAATTTTCAAATAATTTTAAATGTAACGAACACCGCCCTTAAAATAATGAAACAAAATCAAACCCCGTCATACAAAGATAGAATCTAATACTCAATGCAGAAGTTATGAAACCATCAATAAATTGCGCTGCTTACTTTGGACCGTGCATTTTGGGGATCATCTAGAACACTCCCAAGAATTTCAGCAAATTCTGGACCTATATCATAATCATTCTCTTGCCTACCTGCATACGGTCCTCGACCTGAAAATCCACCATCATCATCTTTATCTTCTTGTACTTTTTCTATACCAAAGTCCTTTGCTTCCCTTCTTGGGGAGGAAGTAATGGTAGTGCAAGAAGGAAGGGGTCCAAAAGGGTGTAAGATAATCATGGGTTGTGTAAGAAATTCGTTAGGGATGATTGTATTGTTGTCTATC